CCTTCCCACGCCCACCGCCACAGTTGAGCATTTAGTATGCATTTTGCATGCCGGGAGCTTTTCTCTGAATTTCAAGAGCTCCCTTTAAACAGTCACACCCTCCCAATCACAATGTATTGCTTGCTAAAAGCTTCCTCCTAAAACAAATGAGTCACTGCTTCGGAAAAGAAAGCCCCCCCAGAGTTTCAGATGATCTCCTCCTTGGACAAAATGTGCTTTTCTTCTTGGAACCGCAGAACTTCCTCCGAGATCTCTTTCTCCACCACGAAAAGGTCATTTCCGAAGTTAAGCTGGATGAATATACTGACACCATGGTAAGTCTATTTGAAGGCATAGCTTGTCTACAAAGGCAGCTTCTTCATTGGCTTCCCCGGGGTCCAGAGGCAGTGTCTTGCATAAAGTAAGAAGGTAAGAAGTATTTGCAGACTAAGGGGAAATTGCACAAGAAAATTCAACCCTGGGAAAGTCATCTACGTTGTATCTGCTTTCGTTTCTCTCTGGAGACCGGACTACACAAATCCAGGTGAGAAAGAGTTTGGTCTGCCCTTGAGGAGACCTGGGAATATGATGTTAATCCAAGTTTTAGAGGAGCAAGTCAGCATCGACCTAACAATCCTGATCAAACGTGGCAGATTTGGTCTCACCGCAGTGGGTGGTTCTAGTTATTGAGCATGCTGATTTCATGCAGTGGAGAGGCAAACAGATGAGGGGTGTGTGTGTGTGTGTATGTGTGTGTGTGTGTGTGTGTGTGTGTTTTCCATTGCCACTTACTAGCTAAGACTTTGGGAATTGTCATGCCTCCCAGCTTCGTTTTCCTCACCTCTCCTTTTTTGCTTCGTCTCCAAAGAAAGTTGTAATCAAGCCAATTCCAACGCATGACAGCCTCGTGTGTCTCAGTCGATCTGTGTTCCAAAGAGTTATCAATAGTCGCTTTTCCAGAAATCAATCGCCAGGTCTTTCTTCCAAGGTACCTCTGGGTGGCCCTGAACTCTCTTCTTGTTCGGGCAGCAGTCAATGATGTTAACTGTTGACACCGTATAGGGATTGTACAATGGATAGTGTGTTGTCGTTACTGTTATTTACCATCTAGCCCATTCTGGCTCATGGCAACCCCACGTGTGCAAAATGAAATTTCTCCATAGGGAGTTCAAGACAGGGATCTCTCAGACGCAGGTCTCCAAGCCTGTCCTCTTGGGACTTCTGGAGCGTTTCACCTGATAACCTGCTATTCAGTAGTTGAGTCTTTAGCTGTTTGCACTTCCCCAGACCTTCTAAGATAGGGCTTTAAAATGCTTACTCAGAAGGGGCGCGGGGAGGAGAGGAGCCAGTCAGGGTGCGGCGTAGTAATGATGAAACATACAACTTTCCTCTAGTTCTTAGATGCTGTCCCACTCCCCCCTGCCACTGTCATGATCCCAATTCTACCTTACAAATCCGGCTAGACCAGAGGATGTACACTGGTACAGATAGGAACTGGAAACACAGGGAATCCCGGACAGATGGATCCTTCAGGACCAGTGGTGAGAGTGGCGATACTGAGAGGGTGGAGGGAAGGTGGGATAGAAAGGGGGAACCGATTACAAGGGTCTACATATAACCTCCTCTCTGGGGGACGAACAACAGAAAATGGGTGAAGGGAGACGTCGGGCAGTGTAAGATATGACAAAATAATAATAATTTATAAATTATCAAGGGTTCATGATGGAAGGGGGACCGGGGAGGGAGGGGAAAAGTGAGGAGCTGATACCAAGGGCTCAAGTAGAAAGCAAATGTTTTGAGAATGATGAGGGAAACAAATGTGCAAATGTGCTTGACACAATGGATGGATGGATGGATTGTGATAAGAGTTGTATGAGCCTCCAATAAAATGGTTTAAAACAAAAACACTTACTCATTGTAAAGACGCAAGTGGAGTAGAATCCGTGGCCAAGATAGGTTAGCTCTTGTCCTGATGGCTGGGGTTCCCGTTACGATTTCACTTTCCCCTTGTAGAGTCCACATCTTAAATGATTCCGGAGACTCTTTTTCAGGGTGGTGGTGCCCGAGACATTGCCTTTGGTGAACTCACTCCCGCCTTCTGGGTCAGAACAGAACTTCATGCATTTCCCCGGGTACTTGTTCACCATTGGATTGCTTGGAATCTGATGCCTCTAGTCTACCCTGTCCACTTAGTCCATGTGAAAGGCACTCTGGTGGCATAGTGGTTATGAGTTGAGCCGCGATCCTAAAGTCTGCAGTTCGAAACCCCCAGCTGCTCCCTGGGAGAAAGACAGAGCTTTCTACTCCTGTAGAGAGTCAGTCTCAGCAACTCCCTGGGCCAGTTCTGCCCGGTCCTATAGGGTCACTTGTGAGTCAGCATCAGTTCAATGGCAGTGAGTTTGGGTTGGGTTGGGTTTATTCCTGATAACCTCAATTCTCAGATGTGTGTCTCTTGCGCATACAACTCTGCACGTTCCTTAACATAGGAGCTTGGAGCAGGGGTCCTCAAATTTTTTAAACAGGGGGCCAGTTCACTGTCCCTCAGACCGTTGGAGGGCCAGACTATAGTTTAAAAAAAACTATGAACAAATTCCTATGCACACTGGATGAGGTTGCTGCTAAGCAGGACAGGCAGCGGCAACAAAAACACCCGGCGGGCCGGATAAATGTCCTCGGCGGGCCGCATGTGGCCCGCGGGCTGTAGTTTGAGGACCCCTGGCTTAGAATCTGCTGGAAGATTAATTACCTAGGGCACTGTTGCCTTTATTATATCAAGGAATGTTAAGCAGAGAACATCCAGCTCTACCTGGTGAACAGGTAGGTAGGTGGCATATCATCGTGAAAAACAAGCCTGATCCATTGCCATCAACTGGTCCACACAAACCCCAACTCATGGTGACCCCATGTCGCACAGAGTAGAACTGCTCCATTATAAGGGAAGACTAATCACTAGGAAACAGGCTGTCGTCGTTATGAAACAGAGGGCGGACAAACACAAGGGAAACCCCAATGAAAGGATTAACACAGCAGCCACAGCAATGACTCAAAAATGCAGGTGTCATGAAGAGGGATCAGGCAACACTCTCTGGTTACCCATCAAGCAGGAAAGCATCGCGCTGGCTGGCTGGTGCTAACGACAATGGAAGCGCATGGCCAGACCTCTCTTCATGTCAGGGGGCTTCCTCTATCTCACCACCTACCTTCTTTACCGAGCATGATGGCCTTTTCTAGGGACTGGTCTCCCCTGACCACCAGTCCAGAGTACGTGAGATGAAGTCTCACCATCTTTGCCTCTAAGACAGAGGTGTTGGTTCTTTTGGCGGTCCATGGTATGTATACTTTCTTTTTTTCTTTTTTAACATTTTATTAGGGGCTCATACAACTGTTATCCCAATCCATACACACATCAATTGTGTAAAGCACATTTGTACATCGTTTCTCAAAACATTTTCTCTCCATTTAAACCCCCGACATTAGGTCCTCATTTTTCCCCTCCCTCCCCGCTCCCCCCTCCCGCATGAGCCCTTGATAGTTTATAAATGGGTATTTTGTCATATCTTGCCCTGTCCGACGTCTCCCTTCATCCACTTTTCGGTTGTCTGTCCCCCAGGGAGGAGGTCACACACAGTTCCATGTAATCGGTTCCCTCTTTCCTACCCATTCTCCCTTTACCCTCCCTGTTTTGCCACTCACACCACTGGTCCTATAGGGCTCATCCGTCCTGGATTCCCTGTATTTTCAGTTCCTATCTGTACCAGTGCACCTCCTCTGGTCTAGCCAGTCTTGCAAGATAGAATTCGAGTCATGGTAGTGGGAGCGGGGAGGAAACCTTTAGGAACTCGAGGAAGGTTGTATTTCTCATCATTGTTACATCGCACCCTGACTGGCTCATCTCCTCCCCGAGACCCCTCTGCAAGGGGATCTCCAGTGGCCTACTACTGGGCTTTGGATCTCCACTCCGCACTCCCCACATCATTCACTATGGTAAGATTTTTTGTTCTGATGATGCCTTACACCTGATCCCTTCGACACCTCGTGGTTGCATAGGCTGGTGTGCTTCTTCCATGTGGGCTTTGTTGCTTCTGAGCTTGATGGCCGCTTGATTACCTTCAAGCCTTTAAGACCCCAGACGCTATACTTTTTGATAGCTAGGCACCATCAGCTTTCTTCGCCACATTTGCTTATGCACCCATTTGTCTTCAGTGATCCGTTCGACACCCCGTGATCACACAGGTTGATATGTTGTTCCATGTGGGCTTTGTTGCTTCTGAGCGACATGGCCGCTTGTTTACCTTCAAGCTTTTAAGACCCCAGACGCTATACTTTTTGATAGCCGGGCACCATCAGCTTTCTTCACCACATTTGCTTATTCACCCGCTTTGTCTTCAGCGGTTGTGTCGGGAAGGTGAGCATCATAGAATGCCAATTTACTAGAAGAAAGTATTCTTGTGTTGAGGGAGTACTTGAGTGGAGGCCCAATGTCCTTCTGCTACCTTAATACTAAACCTAGAGGGGATAACAAACCCATGGCATACTTTCAATCTTCTTCACCAGCACCTTGGTTTACATGCATCGCTTTTTTCATGGTTTTCTTTATGTAACATCCCACGTTCACATGCCACTGAGGTGATTGAAAATACCAGGGCTTGGATGAGGTGTCCCTTCGTCCTCAAAGTAACCTCTTTGCTTTTCAACGCTTGACAGAGGGCTTGTGCAGCGGATTTATCCAATGCACCGCCTCATTTGATCTCTTGACTGCTGCCTTCCATGCAGTTGATATTTTTCTGTTTTTCAAACGCTGCATTACTTCTAACAAGTACACTGCAGTGTTAACATTGTTCATGCTGTTTTATCCGTATATCTGATCATTGAAGCTCAGAAAGGGTGTCTTAGACAAGGTCACTCCCAAGTTGAATCCTTAAACTCATTTGAAAGAGCATAAAACTGAGAAAGGTGAAGCTATCTAGCCCAAACCAACCAAAACCAAGTTCACCTCCATCAGGTTGATGCCAACCTATAGGACAAGGTAGAGCTTCCCTTGCGGGTGTCTGAGATGGTAACTCTGGACTAGAGTAGAAAGCCCTGTCTTTCTCCCACAGCTCAGCTGGTGGTTTCCAACTGCTGACCTTGTAGCCAGTCCAGCTTGTAATCACGACACCCCCAGTGCTCCTTTTCTAGCCCAAAGCGCTGGTTAACCTGGAAGGTGAGCTTTCCCAGGCTTAACCTTGGACTCTTGCTGGCCGTCACCTAGGCCAACGGCCGCTCAGAACCCTGTCCCCATAAACAAATGGAAGTGCTGTTGACCAACAGGGCGCACACATGGCCTTGACCGAAG